ATGTACAGGTTACCATTTTTAAATACCGCCTTCTTACCGTCCGAATACGCTTTCTGCATTACTCCTCTTAGCGATCGCTTTTTCTTGATATCAGCGGCGGGCAGATCTTGTATTACAAATACGGGCGAGTTTTTAAGTTGAGATTTCGCACGCTTAAGGACTTCATGTCTTTCTGGTCTGTATACAAATTTGGCTATGATATGTCTTGGCTTGTCATTGGGCGCTTTTGGTAGTTTTCCCGTGCGATGTGCTGTTTCAATATCTACATCCGGTAGACTAAGTTCATTAGATATAAAATCCTTGATTTTCTTAAGCACATTATCTTCTTTATTACCTTCAGGTATTCCACCGAAACGCAAGTTGAATCCACGAGAGTAACGTTCGAGACTAAGAACATCTTCCTCTAATTGACCCATTTTCGGCTTCATCGTATTTTCTAGCTCGTTGATGTTACTACTCACTTTACTAGTAAGAACTTGATTTTTCTTTAGCAGATCATCAATAGTATCTGATAAAAACATGACTGACCGTTCCATATCCATCTGTTTGGCTTCAATTTTATCCATTCTGGTAAGTAAACACCTCTGATTTTTTAGCACTTCGTCCAGCTTGCCTTTAGTCTCACTCGCCAATGCTTGTATTTCCCGCCGTAACAGGTCAGTGTCGGAGTTGGTTGGAACTGGTTTTGCTAGTGTCGTCACAGCTATGGATTCCGGTTCAGCTGCTTGAACACTTGGGTTCGGTTTTGTAGCTTTTTTACGTGGCATCTTCGAATTTACAAGTAAATTAGTTTTATTAGAGGTTTACTCCGTATATTTATCAAAATTGATGGATATGAAACGTATATTTTACTTTATCTCCGGAACATTTTACGGAGCAAATTTTGCCGTACCTATGTCATCGTAACGCCCTCTATTACAACAATATGTAATATATATGGAACCCACATGCATTTTTACATGGGTGGTATATGGGTTTCCCATATGGGACCTATATTTTCCCGACCCATATTGGTAACATATGGGCTATCCTTGAGGAAACCTCCAGATTCTGCACCCAAGCCCCATGTGGGGCCCATGTGGTTTAACCCATTGCCCAGGTATAACCCATTTGGGGCCCATATGGAACCTATATTTCCCAACCAATGGGTATGATATGGACTAGCCCTTAAGGCACCCTCCGGATTCTGCACCCAAGCCCCATGTGGGGCCCACATCTTTCAGAGAACCCATATGGGGCCAACATGGTACCCTCATGCATTTGTACATGGGTGGCATACGGGATTCTCACATGGTACCCATATGCAATTGCACATGGGTGATATATGGGGCCCATTATTTTCTGGCCCATATGGATGTAATATGGGTCTGCCCATACGGGGCCCCTCGTATTCTCCACCAAAGCCCATGTGGGACAAACATGGTACCCATTGCAACTGCACATGGGTGGTATATAGGTGTCCCATATGAGGCCCATATTTTCTGGCTCATATATGGATGGCATATTGGTTTGCCCATATGGGAGCCTGTATGGTTTAGCTGACATGGCCCAGAGAGAACAAGTATGAAGGCCACACATTTCTGACTTGGCTTCTAACTCTGGTTTGAGCATTGGCTGAGTCGATGACCATGAGCTAGATGTACATTTCAACAAATTACTCCTTGTCTGAAAATAAAACTTTTCAATTGTACGTATAGTACAAAATATTTTCACTGCAATGATTAAACAAAACGGTTATTTCATTTTAACACATCAATCATTTTATTTACTTTGTAGAGAAAGCAATATTGTCAATTGCAAATACAAATAGTGGTAAATGAAATCAAAATTTCTTAATGTCCCTTAATAACTATACAATTCAATTTCTCCAGCTCCTTGGAAAGTAAGAATATTCCATCATTTTTATCGCATTGGGAATATCACATATTTAACGTTTTTACAGATTATGAATATCCTCAAATTGATAGGGTCCATGCAAGAGTGTATCAATGAGAATCGTCAATAGTTTCACCATGAATCATAAACAGAAGTACGAATGCCTTTTTCCCTCATACTTTTCACAAAGGTTATTAAGAAAGTATTCAATCGCCTCCTTTTTTTCACATCTACAGTAGTTGCATCCTCCCACTTCAGAATTCTGCAAACTGGCCCTGGGAAAAAAAAGAAGACAGGTCTAAAAATAATAGCATTTAAGATTTACTCACTTAGATTTATCAAATAAAAAAAAAGACATGCAACACAAATAAAATTTTGAAAATTAG